CATAATTTAAAACAAGTAAAGATGAATTCTTACCGAGGGAATATCGATCAATGGCATATGGACTCTTCTCAAACCAAGACATTCTTCGAATGATTTCACTTCTTCTCCCTTTTCTCACTTCTAAGGTAATCGACATCTCCCTATTTTTCTAGGGTATCATTTTATTTTTTCAACGATTCCTTTTTCTTCTTTCTCTTTTTTTTTTTCTTTCTTTTCTGTTTTTTTTATAGCTCTCTTTTTTCTTATTCGGGTATCCATGAGATCCGAAGTATGCACGGGTATATGCGACATCCCTCATATCACTTCTACCTATAGCTTTTTCCACAGTTCCTTTTAAAGGCTGAAGGGAAGAGAGAAGGAAGGAATCATACTTTGAAGAAGTGCAGTGTCTTGTGCGGCTCGAAGCAGAAGTCTAGTCCAATGTATTCCAACTACCAAGGTAAGAGACTAAGTCCAATTAAGTCCTGATAAAAGTAGAGACAACGTTAGATCAACTGGATATCCAATGAGTAAAGGTTTCAGGATTGTTGATACAGCTCATAGTCGTTCCAAACTTCGGTTCTGAGATCAAGCATAAAAATGTAATCATAAGAGTGTTAATCCAAATCAGAGAAACCATTAGAATAAGTTCATTGTTCCCTACAAAATTTTTGACTCAATAAAACACAAAAAATAAAAATAATATTTGGACTGACTCGATAAAACTCCAAAAGAATAAACAATGTTAGTAAGTACCTCCCCCAGACTTAAACAACACTGTCCATAGTATTGCCAAGCCTAAGATTGGCAAATAAAAGAAAACAAAACTAAGAAAAATGCAAAAGAAATAGATAAACTCACAAGTGGGTTGCCTCCCACTAAGCGCTTGTTTTCAGTAATTAGCTTGACTTTGTCGGGGTTCATGCATCAGGTGGGTCGGGAAGCGGCACTAAATGTCTCCGAGAATAGTGTCTCATCATCCAAGGTGGTTTATAAGCATTAGGTGTAGGAGATCGACCAACCACTCGAGGAGCAGCAGCAGGGCAAGATTGAGGTGTGGGTGGGACACTTCTTTTACCTGCAACATCATCAAAAGAACCAACAAGCGCTCTACGATAATCTTGTGGCTTGGTTAACTGCAAAACAGTCTTTGTACCTTTAAAAGTCTTATCGATGATATGAGAAGGTTTAGGTAAAGAACATGCGTCCCTTTGCTTTTCTCGAGGTCTCTGGAGTATGGGTGGTGAAGCTTTCCGATTCAGAACAGGGCTCAAGTTTGCAGCAGTAAGATCAACACGAAAAACATCCGTTCTTGGCAAGTTTGTACTGTCGTGACGAGGGGTGTCGACCGACACCATAGTGTTGTCGCTCGACACTGAGCCTGCTGCTCGTGTTTCTCCACTTTTTCTGCAGTTCGACTCAGCGATCCTCATCTCTAGCACAAAAACGTCATCCTCCAATAGCTTATAATTAGCTAGACCCCCGTTATGGTCCCTAGTCCTAAACAGATGATTACTAGCAATAATGTCTCTTGAATACTCTACGACTGCCTTGTCATCGATGGCTTCCTCTACAGAAAAAGTTTGGCCATCAATAGTAGTGCTCTTCTCAACTTATCCATTATAAATTTCATAACCAAATCACCCACATACAGTCCAATCGTTCCTTTCTGAACATCTATAAGAGCACCAGCGGTAGCCAAGAAAGATCTCCCAAGGATAAGAGGATCCTGAGGTTCTTCGCTATACTTCAAAACCACAAAGTCCGTAGGAATTATGCATTCACCAATCCTTATTAGAACATCCTCTAAAAGACCTTCGGGAATTCTTTTGGACCTATCAGCTAAGATAAGAGAGATCCTAGTCGGCTTGAAATCTGTCATCCCAAGTCTCACAGCAACAGAGTATGGTATCAAGTTGATACCTGAGCCAAGATCACAAAGAGAGTGAGGAAATCTTTCTGTGAAGATAGAGCAGTCTAGTACGAAACTTCCTGGATCAGGTAACTTCTCTGGAATCCTGTTCTGAATCATGGCACTAACTTTTTCAGAAACAAACACTTTCTTCTTCTTTTCTTTCTTACTCAGTGGGGTCTGTTTCAAGAAGATAGCACCCATGTGTCTAGCCAGCAAAGCTCCTTCCTCAGGGCTCACGTCATTTTGGACCATCCTCTTAACACATCGCTTAAGCATAGGTGAATCGTGATCTGTATGATATAGAGGTATCTCATTAACCATCTTTTCCATCATTACCTTGCATTGAGCTTCTTCTATCTCCTGTTTAGACTTCCGAGGCCTTGGAAAAAGAACCTTAGGCTTGTAGATCTTTTCTGTAGATGGCCGCAGAGTTTCGGGAAAATCTTGTTGTGTCTGTGAGGGGTGTCGATCGACACTGGGAAGGTGTCGATCGACACTGTGATCTGGTGTCGATCGCGGTCGATATTGGTCCGTCAGGAGCCGAATCCACGAGAACTGGTGTTAGTGTCGATCAACATCGTGAGATGGTGTCGAGCGACACTTGCTGTGCAAGTGCAGTTTCATCATCTTCACTTGTTTCCTCCTCCCACACATTATCTCCATCTCTAATCAAAATGGCATTACACCCTTCTCGTTTCTTCACAGATCCAGTACTCCGTGTAGCAAGAGTTTCTAACTTATTGGTATAAGTGCTCTGAGCTTCGATTTTGCCATTCAAGTCAGTGTACATGGCATCCATCTTCCCGTTGAAATCCACTCTCATGTTTTGCTGACCCGCTAGTATATGTTCTAGCATTGACTTCATCTCAGTATCTGCAGATGGAGAGGGAGGTGACTGGTAAGAAGAATTTCCATAGGTTCTGACGAAACTACTAGTGCCTTTCTGACCATACCCATTGTTGTACCGGTTACCCTGTGTTACCAAACTTCTGACCTTGATACCCAGCACCATTGACGTAGTTCACATCTTCTTTTTCATCCTCATATGATTCAAAAGCCTCAACCTCAACATCAAACTTAACACTCTTCTTAGTAACAAGAAGTTTATGAACTGAATCGAGCTTTGCTAACGTCAGCGAGTTGAACACCATCCATGTTTTGAGCTAGCTTCTTCCTCTCAAAATCAGCGACTTTAGTTCTGCTGCTGGAAGCTAAGTTCTCAATCAGTTTGGTGGCTTGAGCTGGAGACCTTGTGTTGTAGTTACCGTTGCTAGCAGCATCCAAAGCCATCTGGTACCTGCAATCCAATCCTCTGTACAAAATTTCCAAAAGCTGAAATTTGTCATATCCGTTGTGTGGACAATCTCTCTGATAACCCTTAAAACGCACCCAAGCAGCCTTGAAAGCCTTTGAGATCCCTTGAGAAAAGGTAGAAATCTTTTTCCGCAACTTCTCTGACCTCACATCATCATAAAAGTTTTAAGAACTCAACCTTTACATCCTTCCAGCACGTAAGAGATCCAGGCTTCAACTCCTTCAGCCAAGATAGTGCTTCTCCAGCTAAAGAGTGCTGGAAACGCTTGCAGAGCAGAAAAGCCGAAGATACATCATCAGTCTTGATGCTAGATACCAGATCCTCAAACTTTTCAATATGGTCCATTGGATGCTCATAAGTATGGCCATGGAACGGGTGTTGTCCTACAAGAGTGTAGTATCCAGGCTTCAGCTCAAAGCTGTTCCTCTTAAATGCAGGAGGAAGTATAGCAGAGCGGTTAGAATAAAACAATGCAGGCCTATTGTATTCTCCAAGTGTACAGTTTTCATCCTCTGCTTCAGCATGCAACGCTAACTGATTGATGTCTGCTGCGGATTGGTGTCGATCGACACCCAGTTGGTGTCGCTCGACACCGACGACGAGTGGCTCAGGAATCACAGTCCCATCAGCATTCAACTTCTGCCCTTGTGCATTCCTCAGATGCCCATCTCCATCTCTAAGAGTACCCTCAGCATCTTGAATCAAAATCACTAGCGCAACCATTGCTGCCTGTTTCTGAGGTTTTCGATTCTGTCTTTCTAAACCCACTAGGTCTTGATTGTTGAGATCAAGTAGCTCAGTGTTCTTGCTTCAGGTATTAGGCATGAACCTGAAACACCAAAAAGAAAAGAGAAAAGAAAAGCGTAAGTAACAAAATAAAATAAAAACTTAGACTAAACTTTTAACCTTAATCTAATGGTAATCAAAATTGAGTCCCCAGCAGCGGCGCCAAAATTTGATCGGCTCAAATTTGCCCTGAGCTACTCTCTCAATTAAGAGATCACTATAATAATTAGAGATCGAATCCACAGAGACTCAAAGATTACACAATAAATAATCGGTATTAAACTAAGCTAAGCAAGCAGGTTATTAAATTAAATAAAACAGCAAATTAAATTAAAGATTGGTTTTTAAACAATAATGAGGAAACGCTAGCCCTAGGGATATTCTCAGGAAATTCAGAATTGCAAATAAATAATTGTCAGGATTTATAAAGCACCGTTCTTGAACTCAAATCACAAAAATATAATCAATCAACTTTCGTTGGAAAGACTATCTATGTCTAGAACCCTAAATTCCAAATCTCTTTGCAAATTTATAAGTTTAAGACATGCATTTAATTCAGGTTTGATAAGTTCAAAATCCCTAAACCAAATCTCTTTGCGAATAGGTATTTTGCTCATCTAGATTATTTTCAGGAAATCAATAACACTTTCGTGTCTACCAATTAACCTAAGATCAGATTCTAGGTCGCTTTCACTACTCTATAACAAATTAACCACAATCTAGATGAAGAACTCTATAGATTCAATCTTAACAATCTAACAACCTAACAATTCATGAATTCCTTTGAAAACCCTAAACCTAACAAGAGAACTACTTAGACATGGTGATTGAAACAAATATCATGAATAAAATAGATTTCATTAAAGAAATCAATAGCAGAAGTAAAGGAGTTCTGAATCTTCTCCGAAGGAGGTTTTGATTCTTCTCTCCTGACTCTCTACAAATCTCTCTCTCCAAAATAAAGCTTAAGTCTTAACAAAACCCTAAAAACTCAATATATATGTCTTAACCACGAAATGGGCTTAATTGCAAATAAGGGAAACTTCTTGGCCGAATCTGCAAATCTTCTAAACTTCAACTAAGCGAAAAATTCAATTGCCGTCAGATATTGGTGTCGATCGACACCAGAAGTTGTAACGCTCGACACTCACTCCAAATATGCTCTCCCGGTACGTTCCTTCGGCACACCTTCTCCAAATGCTCTCAAATACTCCAAAAAGCTCCAATCCATGCCAAATAGCTCCTAATCCTGAAATGACTGCAAAAGTCTCGAAAACACTATAAAAGCTCTATAAATAAGACTTATATCATGGCCAAAAACGTGTAAAAACCATGATATATCAGTTTTGTAGTTGTTCTAACCCTTTTGGTAACCTACTTGATTCTAAATATAGCTCACCTCTTCAGTATTATTACAATCCCCTTCTTGAGGTTGAAAGGGCTCCTCCTCTTGAACAAAGTGTACACTCTTTTGCTGGTTCATCCAAAACTTATCTAACTTCTCATTAAGCACCTTCATATCCTTCCTATATTTGTCCTCTTGGTCGGTGCTGCCTCGGACGAGTTCCCAACCAGCATCGACATCCTTATTGAGAAAGTTCCCATTACTAGCGGTATCAAGAAGCATCCTAAACTTAGGCAAGATTCCTTGGTAGAGTGTACTTAGGAGTGATTCGTTACTGAAGCCTTGATGGATACATTGCGATTGATATCCCTTGAAACGCTCTCAAGCCTCACAAAAGGTCTCGTTGTTCTTCTGAGCAAAGCTGGATATGTCATTCTCGAGACAAGCTGTTCGTCCGTTAGAGAAAAACTTAGACAAGAACGCCTTCTTGCACTCTTCCCAGGTTGTAATAGATCCCGCGGGTAGTGACTTCGCCCACTGATGAGCCTTATCCCCAAGGGAGAATGTGAATAGTCTGAGTTTCAACCCATCTTCACTCACACCGTTGATCTTAGTCAGACCACACAGCCTATAAAATTCATCGAGGTGGTCCAAAGGGTCTTCCATGGACAGCCCGTAAAAATTGTTTCCTTGAATCATAGATATTAAACTGCTCTTGATTTCAAAGATATATATTGTTTTGAACATTGGGAGGCACAATCCCTTGAATAGTGGTGTTATTACGAGTAGCATCGCCAGCTTCAATTAGTGTTGGCGCTCTTGGTGGAGGTTCCATCTCTGCCTGTTGATGGTGTACTCTTGTTTGAACACATTGTTTACGGAGTTGTCTAGACAAGCGGTCAAGATTGTTGAGATAATTGAGCAAGTGTTGATTACCCTTTGATCTGGTTTGCATGCAAAGCTTCAGGAAGAACTTGATCAGTAACATGACCACAAACACGATCGTGCAGCTGGTGACTCTGTCGAGTGGCTAGCTGTAGCTCGGTTGGGTGATCTTACTGATGCTCGGTCGAGTGTGTACCTGACACCGAGAAAGACAAGCAGAAAACAATCAAATTAGTAATCGAAGTAAAATAACTTAATCTTAAAAGTGTTGTAATCCTAATTGGAATAAACAAACACCCTAATGGCAGCGGCACCAAATTGAAACAAGGTTTTTCTCTGTCCTTAGAAGTTCAATTACCCTAGTGCATTTCAGTGTAAAGGGCTTAATCGATCAAAATGTGTGTGATGCAAGCAATTGAGATAAACAGTACTACTCAAGTCAAGCCAATCAATTAATCAGTTGGATCATCAACTCTAATGAATAAAAGTAAATGACAGAATGTAACTAAAGCATCTAAGAACAATATTAAAGACAAGCTAAGAATGCAAGAACTACATAAGCAATATTACAACAGCCAAGAAAAGTAAGTTAACAATCAGATGAATAAAGGTCTCAAGGGTGGGGTTAATGGGTTAATGAATCCTCTTAATCTCATTCGGGTGCTTAACATGCTCAATAGATCTATTCCTAGACAATAAACCACTTAACCTAATATGTCCAATCTCTTGGCAAAGATTATCAAGTCTTAAGCACTTCCTAATCTCAATTCTCATTGATGAAACATGCAATAGACAGGCATAAAGATCAAGCTCATTAATGTTAATCTACTCCTTAAACAACTAATCTCTAAGGTAAGCAAGTAAATCTCTGGCATTAGTGGACCAGACACTCCATTAAACACTTTTTGGGTGCTGAAATGTCTAAGATCTAATCTCACATGGTTAATTTAAAAACTAGCTATTAAATCTCTAATCCATAAAGGATCTATTGAAATCTAAGCTAAAACACCCCTAGAGATTAATTAGTGGGTATGTGAAACAAGCGTTTTTGGTGTTCTGGAGTTCAATTCCCTAGTGCAATGTAGTACATGAGGTTATCGATCTAAATGGGTGTATTGCAAACAATCAAGATATAGCAGAACTAATAAAGTCAAGTCAAGGAGTTGAAAGTTTGGAATTAAGAACTCAAATGCATAAAAGTAAACTACAGAATTATAAACTAAAAGATCTAAAAACAATACTGAAGATAAGCTAAAGGATCTAAGAATACTAAGAAAGCAAGAAATATAGAAGCAATATTGAAAATAGAAATGAAAGCAGGTAAACAATCAGATAAACAAGGGTCTTAAGGATGGGCTAATGGGGTGATGAATCCTCTTAATCTCTTGGGGATGCTTAACATGCTCAAATAGATCTAATCCTAGACAATGAACCACTTAACTTAATCAATCCAATCTCTTGGCAAAGATTATCAGATCTATAGCACATCCTAATCTCAACTGTCATTGATGAAACATAATATAGATAGGCATAAAGAACAAGCTCATTAATGTCAATCTACTCCTTAACAGCCAATCACTTGGGTAAGTAAATAAATCTCTGGCATTAGTTGATCAGACATTCCATTTGAACACTTTTTGAGTGCTAGAATGTCTAAGATCTAATCCCACATGGTTAATGCTAAGATTAGCAATTAAATCTCCTAATGCAGAAGGTATCTACCTGAATCTATACTTAAGCATCCCTAGAAACTAAGATTCCTCATCACCTAACACATCCTCTAAACCCAGAAAAATACTCAGATATGGAATTCATCATGAAGAATATAAACCCAGAAATCTTTAAATCTTGCATAACTAGATAGATAATGATCTAAGGAGCAAAATAATATGAAGAAGCAACACTAAAAACTCAATAGATCAAAAGATATTAAGATTACATGTTTCTGAAAATGGTTGGTGGCTACAAAGAAAAACCCTAATATAGACTCGATTTTTGGCTTAAAGACCCAAGGTATCTATTTATACTAAGTGCTGGAATCCCTAAAACACTAAAAGACAAATTACAAAGTCGGTTTGAGGTGAGCTCGGTCGGGTGCATGTTTCGGATCCATCCAAGACTCGGTCGGGTCCAATGCCTTAGTTGAAAATCTGGTACTTCACTCCATCTGATCGGATCAGATAGTGGCTTGGTCGGGTCAGCTTCATTTGGTCGGGTGAGATCTTCTAGGCGTTCAGTCTTCAATCTGGATGTATATACCTTCACTAAAACAGTGATAACCCTTGAACCGCATCTTGTATTGGCTTAAAATCACCAGAAATGGAAAGCTAACTCAATGGCCAACAACTTTTGTGAAGACCTCGGAAGCTAAAACCCAACCCAAGTTCTTCATTCGAGTCGATCTTTGAAGGACTTATACTGCATCCGATCGGATGGTTGTTGACGCGGTCGAGTTGGTTGGTCGAGTGCCTTCTTTTTATCATTCTTTATGCTTCCAATTCTCTTGGTTAGTCCCAGAAATGAAAATAGCACCTCCCTTCTCTTTTAGAGATCAAAAACACCTAATAATGCTCGAAATTCACAAAATATGCAATGCTAATGCAAAAACAACCTAAGAGTGCAAAATATAAGAAAAGAGACTATAATGCATATGAAACAAGACTCATATTATGAAAAACTTGCAATAAAAGTATGCCTAAATTGGGTAAAATATGGAGTTATCAACTCCTCCAAACTTATTCTTTGCTTGACCTTAAGAAAATCCAAAGTAGGAAGAGAGGTTTGAAGGTGAGGATTCAAAACCAGTACTTGCTGCTAAAGTAGTTAAAATCAATGTCCTAGTCTATAGTTCTAAAATGCAAATTACAAGAGCCATACTCTGAAAACTTTGCCATACTTCTTTCAACATGAGATGCATCTATCATAGAACTTAGGCAAGCATTCCAATCAACCATTCCTTTTAAATTCATTAAGTAGTAACCGCGAATCTGGTTGTAAAGTGAATATAAACTCATTTGGCTAGGTATAGAAAGGGTTAAGAGACAAAGAGGGTGTCTCCTTTAGTGAGGGTTTAGTTGTTTAAGTTATGGGATCTCTCTATGAACAAGATTGAGCTTTTGGGAGAATGCTAAAGGTAAGGACCAAAAAATGCATACAAGAATAACATCTTGACTACCCAAAGTACCCAAGTGATATCGTAATTGTCTAACCCATATGATCCTATTCTACCCTTCAACTCTTTTCATCCCAGTTTCCCTTTTTGTTCTAAGTCTAAGGAGAGTTTCTTATGATAAACTAGTGGATAGGGGGTTTTCTTAATAAACACTATGGTTCTCTTTCTTCTTAACACTTAAGACATCAAAGCATTTTGCTATCTTCACACTTTTCTCTCTTTCTTTTAAAATCTAGAACCATCTCTATACTTTGCATTCCCCACACATCTTTCACTAGAACCTTGAACTTTTCTGAAACTTTTACTATCCTAAAGACACAACTCATTCCCTTTTTATTTTATTTCTTTTATTTTCACCATTCCAACAAATCCCGAAACCCAAGTAGAATCCATTCTAGTCCTATCTGATCCAAAAAATGCAAATCAGAACTACTCAAGATACTATTCATGTCGGCACAAACCTAACACGTTCTCTTAAAGCTTAATCCCAAAAAAATAGGCCTTCCACTTAGAATTAAAACAAAGGCTTAAAGGAAAGGTTAAGGTTCTTAGGGTGTGGTTAACTCTGGTCAAGGTTATGACCAGCTACTTGGATCAACAAGAGGGTGGTAAAAAGAGGGCAAGAAGATCCAAGTATGTATACAAGGTATCCATGAGTTTAAAACAAATCACAACCAGATAATTATCAATTCAAGTTAAGGTTATTATAAATAAGGAATGACATCATATCAAAGCAAGCTTCAGTTTAGACTAGAATTCAAATCATGCAATCAAAGAATGGTGCGGTTTCAATTCAAGCTCATGCAATTGCATTAAACACCTATGGACGAGGGCATTGATTTTAAGTCTAATGAAACAGCAAGTTCTTTGGTTATAATCATCCTAATCCCCTATGCGAATGCAATGATCATAAATGCAACATCCCTAAACAAGGCTAATATGCAAATGCAACTATATGAACACTATATTGTTTAAAGATTTTTCTAAAAAATTTCAAATCTATAGGGGTTTTTGATGCACATAGATGAATGCAAGACTAGATGCTAAAAATTCGAAATAAGAAAACATAAAACATGTCAAATGCATATCCCAAACCTTCCCCCAAACTTATATTACACATTCCCTTGTGTACTAAAAATCTGAAGAAATATTTAGGAATCAAAAAGCAACAAAAAACAAAATGAAAACTGGTATGTACAAAGATAAGTGATAGATTTACCTGGATTTGGCTAACGGTGCTGGCGTGGTCGGGTCAATGTCACTGACCCGGTCAGGTCAGGTTAACGAACCGGATCGCGCTGCATGTATATGCTCCCTGTGCTCCATTTCTTAAACCCAAACAAGTTTGAAATTGCATTTCTCCCCTTAAACGACAAGAGGTGTCAGA